AACTTATATGTCAAGGGTAATCAAACCCTTGGACGGAAGACAGAGAAGACAGGGTCTGGCAAGCGGAATTCCAGATCCAAATCTAGGGATAAAAAGACAATTCACTGTTACAAGTGCAAGGAGGCGGGACATATGAAGCGAGACTGTCCGAAGTTAAAAAAGAAGGCTGATGAGAAGCGTGATGATTCATCCAAGTCTGTGAATGTGGTCGAGGATGACAATTCTGATTGTAGTGAGGGTGATATGTTTCTATTTCAACGACTCAATTGACAGATGTTTGGATTCTTGATTTAGGATGTTCTTATCACATCACGTCAATAGGGAATGGTTTTCGACATACAGGTCGGTTAATTCTGGTTCTGTTTATTTGGGTGATGATCGATGTTGCAATATTTTTGGTATTGGCGAGGTCAGAATTAAGATGTATGATGGCTCTGTTCAGACGTTGAATGGTGTTCGGCATATCCCAGATTTGAAGAAGAATTTGATTTCTTTGGGCACTTTGCACAAGAATGATTTTATCCCTAAGGCTGATGAGGATAGGGAAACCATTCGGATTGTTAAAGGTGCTTTGACTGTGATGAAATGCAATATGACTGCAGAGAATATTTACAAATTGTTAGGGAGTACCGTTGTAGGTGGAGTTCATTCTGTTGAGTCCTGTGATGACACAACCAAACTGTGACATATGCGTCTTGCTCATCTTAGTGAACGTGGTATGGTTGAATTACATAAAAGAAATCTGTTGCATGGTGTTAAAAGCTGTAAGCTCGATTTTTTGCAAGTATTGTGTTCTTGGTAAACACTAAAGTTCGTTTTAAGACTGCGAAGCACACAACTGAAGGGATTCTTGATTATGTGCATTCTGATGTATGGGGGCCTTCTACGACATTGTCTTTGAGTGGATCTAGGTATTATGTTACTTTCATTGACGATTTTTCACGGAAAGTTAGGTGTATTTTTTTAAAACACAAGTCCGTCGTTTTTGAGAAGTTCAAGCTGTGGAAAGCTGAGGTAGAAAACCAAACAGGACGAAAAATCAAGTGTTTGCGATCTGACAATGGTACAGAGTACACATATACACAGTTTCTAAACTTCTGTAAGGAGCACGTGATTAAGAGGCATTTTACAATGCGCAAGACACCACAACAGAATGGTGTTGCGGAACGGATGAACAGGTCGTTGAATGAAAGAGCCAGATGTTTGCGGTTGAATGCGAAGCTTCCCAAACACTTCTGGGCCGAGGCTGTTAACATGGAGTGTTATCTTATCAATAGATTGCCAAGGGCATCATTGGCTGGGAAAGTTGCAGAAGAGGTATGGAATTGTCATGAAGTTAGTTTTGATCACTTACAGATTTTTGGTTGTCCTGCTTATGTGCATGTATCTGCTGATGAGAGATCCAAACTTGATGCAAAATTGAAGGAGTGCATTTTTCTGGGTTACAAGAAAGGTGTCAAAGTATTCAAGTTCTGGGATCCAGTTGCGAAGAAAATTGTGATCAATAGAGATGTTGTTTTTGATGAACCATGTTGCAGTAGAAGACAGGCACAACAGTGGTGGATTTCGAGCAGTTTCCAGTTGAGAAAACATAAACTTCTCAACCAACTTCTGGTAGTTTCGCTACGGATGATTTGCAGGATTATAGTCTCGCCAGAGACAGGGTGAGACGGACGAATATAAAGCCTCCGAACAGATTGGGTTTTGAAGACTTGGTCTCTTTTGCACTTACTGTTAGCAGTGATGATCCGGTTACTTTTCATGATGCAGTTACTAGTCAGGAAAACGACAAGTGGATGGCTGCCATGGTTGAGGAGGTGGAGTCTTTGAATCACAATCGTACATGGGAGTTAGTTCCCCTTCATGAGGGTAAGAAGCCGATTGGTTGCAAATGGGTGTATAAGAAGAAACCAGCAGTAACTGAAAAAGAGGGGGAGAATTTCAAGGCTCGCTTGGTAGCAAAGGGTTTTTCAAAGCAGAAAGGAGTTGATTATGATGAAATTTTTTCTTCTGTGGTCAAACACACTTCAATCCGAGCAGTAGTTGCATTGGTGGCTAGTTGGGATTTGCATTTAGAGCAGATGGATGTTAAAACTGCTTTTTTGCATGGTGATTTAGAGGAGCAGATCTACATGCGACAACCTGAAGGTTTCACTCAACCTGGAAACGAGCATTTAGTTTGCAGATTGAATAAATCTTTGTACGGGTTGAAACAGTCTCCGAGACAGTGGTATAAACGATTTGACTCCTATATGATCACGATTGGCTACAACCGATGTGAGTATGATTGATGTGTCTATGTTAAGAGCCTTGATGATGGTTCTTTTATTTTTCTATTACTGTATGTTGATGATATGTTGATTGCTACGAAGAACATGGATGATGTTATCGGTTTGAAAACCTTATTGAGTCAGGAATTTGATATGAAAGATTTAGGTGCTGCAACGAAAATTCTTGGAATGGAAATTTAAAGGGAAAGAGACTCAAGGAAACTGTGGCTATGTCAACAGGGTTATGTTGTGAAAAATGCTAGAAAGGTTTACGATGAGCAGCGCAAAACCAGTTAGCACTCCATTGGCGAATCACTTTAAGCTCTCATCAGAACACTGCCCGAACACTGGAAGACAAGTCCGAAGTTTGTAAGTACATGTCTAAACCTGGTAAGACAAGTCAAGGGATTTTTCGATACTATGGACATGGTATTGTTTTTGGTAGTTAGCGGGATAATCATTTGGTTGTAGGATATGTGGATTCAAACTATGCAGGTGACTTGGATAATAGAAGATCTATGACAGGGTATGTTTTTACTCTTGGTGGAGGACCTATTTGTTGGAAGTCTACTGTTCAATCTGTTGTGGCACTATCTACAACTGAAGCTGAATACATGGCAGTGGCTGAAGCTGCAAAATAAGCTTTATGGCTCACTGGTTTAGTGAAAGAGTTGGGTGTTCAACAAGGTGGAGTTTAGTTGCTTTGCGACAATCAAAGTGCTATTCACTTGGCTACAGGTATATAGAAAGTTGAGTGACGAGAGAGAGTTGTGTTTCAGAAGGTACAGGTGATAGGAATGCCGCTGATATGTTTACCAAACCAGTTACGACAGACAAGTTCAAGCATTGCTTGGACTTGTTGAATGTTTTGAGTTGTTAAATAAGTAAGGTAACCCAACCCACATTGAATGTTTCCTAAAGGGTAGGATATTCGCCAAGGTGGAGATTTGTAAGGTATGACTCATAAATATACCGGTAAAGAGGACAGGGGACCGAGGACGTAAATAGAGATGTAACCTAAACCTATAAGACATTTCTAGCGCCGCCTAGGCACCGAGGACGTAAGCACATTGCCGAACCTCGTTAAAATTCTTGTGTTCTTTCGTTTACTTTTCTCGATTCTTCAATATTTCTGAACCTTGATTAAATGAAAATCGAAGCAAACACGACAAATCAATTTCAACACTTAAACTTGCATAAACCCAGAATTTTGTTTATTCTACCCAAAAAAATATCAAAGCTCTATGGACTATAAGTTGCTAATAGTAAAAAAAGATAAATTACATAAATTAATCTTTATTTTCTCTTTATTTGGTCACTAAATTTTAATTTTTTTAATTTATTTACTGAACTTTAAATATTAATTTGTTTATCATTTAAACGTTTTCTTTCTAACTGTACGATGTTATAGCATCTTTTATTAATTTTGAACGGTCATGAAGACCCTAATTAATATCATTTTTTTTTTTTTTTCACTCTCCATCGTCCTTAACAATTGAATCTCTCCGTCGATGCTACTTCGGATCATCTTCACCCATGCTCCAACACTTTTCCTAACTTTCAAACAGTCTAAAATCAAACAACAACTACATGTTCATCGTCATCTTGAGCCACTATCGCTTCAATCACACAAACCTATAAGATTATATAATCCAAAAAATATTTTAAACTAAATATTAATTACCACATAAAACCAAAATAAAAACCAGAATCAGAAACTTAAAATAAAATCAGAAATTTCTTGCATCCTATGTCAGATGAGAGTTGCGCAAAGCTACCATCCCACTACCTAGACCCTTGCATATCAACTAGTGCCTTGAGAACTATCGTTGGAGAACCATTATTTCAACCGCCTCACACACCCAGCGCACCTCCTCAAGCGGCGCAACACTCTAACCTCTGCCCAGATCCACCAATACACCCTCGTCAATACTAGAAGGTGCTTGACCAACTCCTTCTACCAGAAACCCTTGCTAATCTCAACCCACGTCTCCTTTAACCAAAATATATCAAAAAACTCTTGCTAATCATGTCATAACCCCGTTAATTATTTAGCATAGAATTAAAAAAAAAATCAATCTTTAAAATTTTAATTTTAATGAGTAAATTGAAATTTTTTAAAATTTAATAATTAAAATAAGAGATAAAAAAAGTTCAGTGATGATTTGTAAAATTTATTTAAAAACACAAAGAACTCTTCAAAAACCAAAGTTCTCTATTTTACTCCTCGGTACCAGGTCAGCTTCCATGTAAAAAATACCCCCCACATGACCACATGCTCCCCTCTTCTACTCTCTGTCGCAAAGTCTCCGAGACTTCGAGATTGTTTGTTTGACTCTTAATAGAATCATTCAGCATTGAATATTGAATCATTTATCATTTAGTATGTTTGTTTCATACCTTTAAATGATTCAGTGCTGAATAATTCAGTGCTGACTGATTCAATAAAACAGTATTAAATAATTCAACACATAAATACATTCAGAACTATTCTCAAATAATGTTACATTTACAGTTAATTCATACAAAACATTTAAATTATTAACGTTTAAATCATTCGACCTTAATTATTGTTAAATAAACAAACAGCCCCTTCACCAGTTTAAGTACTCCAAGGAGCATTGAGAATGGTGTAATTTGTAAAGCCTATTCAATTTTTAAAATCCCTTTCTTAACCATTCTTTCTCTGTCTCACAAGAAGGTAGCTTGGTGATGGGTGCTGAGTAAAGATCTAAAGCTGCTTTCTTTCTTCTTCGTCTTCTTCTTCTTTTTTCTTTTTCAGCCTGCTGTAGAAATGGTGAAAGAAGAGAGCTACTTCTTTAGTTGGTCACCGGTAGGAGCTCCATTGAATGTACAAAGAGAAGAAGAACAGTGGAGACATTTTGATAACTCAGTCAATGCCGTGTCTTTTGGCTTTGTTGCTACCGCCATTCTCATCTCTATGTTCTTAGTAATGGCCATCTTCGAACGCTTTCATAGACCCAACTCGTTTTCTTCTTCTTCCCCTGGTGACCCTAACCATGGTGGTGACATTGAATCTCAGCTTGGTTTCAATGGAAAACTCAGCCACCCATCACCAAAAGTGAGTTGCTCTTTCTGTTTCCCCATCTGGGTTTTCTTCAATTATGTTCGAAGTTCTCTCATTTTTATTTGAAATTGATTTTCAAGCATATGACATGCATCAAGCTTCTTTCTACATCATACATTTTACATAGCAGTAAAAATCCTTCCTTTTGGCCTTCAAATTTGTTTGCCTTCTCAAGGATATACATTTCCCTTTAAATTTGTACTTAAAGAGACGTTTTTAGGCAATTCTAGCTTTGTGTAAGCTCAATGGTAAATAATTCTCTTTTTGCCTTGGAGTCCCTCCTTTCTTCCTTCAACTATTTCAAACAGTCATTTCTTCTTTTTACACTATAAAGATGGCCATTGATAGCATATTTTTTTCTCTCTCAATTTGGTGCCTCGTTGCATAAAGTATCTCAGTTGCTTAAATTTTCATTCTTTCATGCAATTGCCAAGATGGCATCTTTTAGTCAAAGATCATTGTTTGGAACAGTCAATTGTCTGTTGTTGCATTTATGATATTTAGGCAATGGCCCCATCTTTCAGGGGACCCTTGAAGAGTATAACAAACCCACACACATATATAGTTTATGTTTAGACCCACCATTTTACCATGACTGTACCTGGGATTGGGAACCGGTGGTTAGCCTTGGTGGACAAGCTTCAGTCAATTGTCTTTTACTTTCGGCCCTTATAATGTGCACTTTTATAATCGTATTGGGAGTTGTTTTCTCCATCCACGATCCTCGAACTCGCGACCTTGCTTTAGGGGTATCAATCTTGGTCTGTATTCTTATACTTGACCCCTTGGATTCTCTGATTAAAGATATCATGTGTGATGCACTTTCATTATGGGGGATGTTAAAGCAAATTAGATGGAACTATCACAGTTCGTGTTAATTATTTCGATCGGTATCCTATGAGTGGTCCTGCATTATGCAACAAATCTTTAGTCTACATTATGTTTCCAGTGGCTTTTGGTGCATCGGATAGAGCATTTAAAGGGAGTTATCTCCAAGTGATGCATTGCTTATTGTTTGTTTAGACTTTAGATGCATGTTCAAAACCTTCTAAATTGCTCAATATAGTCGAGTTCGGTCATATTAGAGTGCTGACTAGTCTCGCTGGTGTCTAATAAATGCACATGATACACCAAGTTTTGATTTTGTGATAAGGACCCATGTTCACACCTTGGCATCTTTGAGACATGATATTGCTGGTATAGTGTTTTGAGCAGCACCTGTCGGGGGGACATCAGAATTGTTTGTTGAGGGTTGGAACTTAATATTTTTCAGATGCATTAACGGGTCAATTCTTTTAGGATACTGCCGATATATCAACATAAAAAATACATTCTGTTCACATAAGCTATTCATCTGGCTTAATGCCGATTCCGAAAATGCATCCTATGCTATAGTGTAGAATAGATGATTATTAAGGCCATGATAGAATGTGTATGTAATTAGCAAATTTGCTGAAATTGCAAGCCAATTTGAGACAGATGGGATATCGGTAGTAATACTATTTTAACATTCGATGTTGATACGCATGTTGATTTTTGAGATAATGCACAACCCCTTTCTATTAAGTTAAGAATAATAGATTAAGCAAAGGTTTATATCATGTTAAACTACCATCGAATGGGAACTTATGATACCGATTGGTTGTAATTTACTTGTTGCTAAGTGGATTGCTCTCTTCTACGTTCTTATAATCTTACGTTTGATGTTTGATACAAATAACTAAATGTGATGGTTTTGCTATTATTTCAGACAATTAAAACATCAATTCTGCATGATTAGTGGTTCAAGCTTTGTCCATTTGTTCATTTTTTCTAGCTGCGACTACATTTGGATTGTCGATTTGTGATCGTAAGGTAGTAGTAGTAGTAGTACCAGTAAGGTCCATGCTGCTTTAATAAAGGATGCTTGTCTAGGAACTGTCCACTAGGTAGGGTCTTATTTGGTGGCCTTGTAAATAAAAAGTCCTTAATGGCTGTTTCTGCAATTACATCTTCCCCATTTTGCATGATACCGTTTCTCGAACTTTAGAGACCATATAGGGACCTTAATAAATGTACCGGTCGCTGCGTTGTTCTGCTTCAAGTATCGAAAAAGTTCCTTACAACTTACCTATCCCATCCCGACTTGCATTGTCTACGTCTATTGTTTTTGTTTCTTTATACAGTTTCTCCTATATCTCCTCTTTGAATTTCCTAGGCAGCATTCTAATCTTGATTGAAAGTACATAGAAAGGTTATCAACTTTATGTTTTCTGCAGATGACAGTATACACCAGCGGAGTGTCGGTTTTAATGCCAGGGGACGAGATTCCTACTTTCATCGCTCACCCGACTCCTGTTCCCTGTCCCCCCGAACCCCGTTCGTAGCCTCGACGTCAACACAAACAATCCCATTAACTCGAGAAACTGCTTCCTACATGTAACACCGAACAATGATCGTGATTATACTCTCCGGCAAGAGGTTTTCTATGAACAAAGCAAAGAATGTCTACTCGGATCAGAGTTGCCCTTATTATTTTCCTTCTAGGCCATAGAATCTATATATAGAGTTTTCGGTGGACTGCCCTGGCTTTGGCAGTTGCATGGAATTGCTGCTTGCTGTCAATTTCCACCATTTCATGTTTCACGTTTTTACATGTAATATTTGTGGTAATATTTAATAATTTTCTATATTTTCCTTTTTTAATTTACATGAATCACTTGATATATTTTTAATATTTATACTGCAATATTATATGTTATTACAATTTATTTTTTAATTAATATAATTTATATAATACAGTATATTAAAATCTCAGGCCACAAAAAATCATAGAAATTGAGTTGGATTAGGTAGGATTGATATTTTGGATATTTGAGTCCAAGTCAAGTCCATAATTTAAAAAAGTCTTTTTTTCTAAATCCATTTTCCAACCTTAATATTTTTGTTCAAACACTTTTAGTTTTCAAGTGAATTTTAGAACTTAAATGAATAATTTGATATTTAAACAAATTTACTTGAAAACACTATAATAACTATCAAAAGTTCGACTAACAAACTTAACATACAATGTGTCTAATACTTCTTCTTAATGAGTGATTATAAGATAATATATGAATATTTTTTAGTCATTGATAATATATATACACTCGATAAATGTAATTACTTAAATCCGAAACTTAATCAGGATCCGTTAATAGGTTATCGTCTAGTTTCTCTTAAAAGCCAATAAATCTGTCAACACTAATCAAATCCTAGTTTCATAGGAGAGGAGCGGAATATATAATAAAGGTCAAAATGAACCGTTAAATGAATAACAAGTGCATATATTTGACTCAAAGCTATGCTTTTGGAACGTTATATTTGTACAAGGGTCACTAGGTAGGAATTGAACCCACCTAAAAGAAAGAAAAAATAAATATGGTTACTATGTTATATATATTAAAACTAAGTTTATCGGTAATACCAGGGGCGGACCCAGGACAAAAATTCAGGGATTACACAAAAAAATTCTTATAAATTTTTTTAGGGGTTGCACAATATTAAAGGTGACACTTGTATTAATTAAAAAAAATTAGAAAAAATTAACACTAAGTAGACAATTTTGTTGTATAAAATTTTTTTCTATAAGAATTTAACTGAAATATAGGGATTATACCTAAAAAACACAAAATATATATATAAAAATACTAAAATAATAACATTTGATCAATGTTCCTCACAATTTGAGGGGTTGCCCGTGCTATCTCTGGCAACCCCCTGAGTCCGCCCCTGGGTAATATCGTAACTTATTAAATTATTTAAAAATAATTATTAAATTTATAAGTTATTAGAAAATAATTATTAAAATATATTGAAATGCTATAAAAAGAGAAAACATGTGTGCATACATATGTAGCAGGTAGTGATTCCTTTTATCCTTGAACGATCACATTTTTGTAAAAAACAATTGTTAAATATATAATTAAATATATGAGTTAATTGAGCAAAATAAAAGCCGGGAAAAGCGCAAATTATTCCACGCATCAATCACATCATTTCTAAAATGAATAAATACAAATTAGGTCTTTACTTTTTAAATTTTTTGAAGTTTTAATTATGCCAATAATTCATTTTCCTTCTTAAAATAAAAAATACATATTCTTTTCTCTTTGTCCATAAGATTAGAATAAATAATTTAAAAGCATATATTTTAAAATATACATGATTTTTAAAATTATGTTAATATTTCTTGAATTAAGTCGTGTATCGATTTTAATATTAAATGTTTTGTTATTAATTTTGACACAAATATAAACTTGTGATAGAAGCAGATTGACCATCAACAACGGTTGACATTTTTATATAAAGAAATAAATAAACAATAATACCATCGCTTCATTAACAACCTAACAGCTCGATGTCCTAATTGAAGCATACTAAAATTTAATTATTTTAAAATCTAATGCTAAAATCAACACACAACTTAAAATTTAGTGTCTAATAATTTAGTTTACCCTAATTTTTATTGGTTTTATAAAAAGTTAATGATACATATTTAGTAGTCAATAAACCATAATTAGCCTTATGTTCTTAAGTCTTAACTTTATTACAAGATTACATAAGGACAAGAAACTTTACTAATTTCGTAGTTCGGCGCTTAAAATTAATAACACCATTCAAGGCATTTTAATATAAGAAAATGCTGTATAAAATTTTAATTTTTTTAATCCGAAAATATTAGAATAAATTTTCAATAAAACTTCGAATATAATATTATAAATAAAACAATTTAATATTTTAATTTGATTTAACTCCAAATTTAATCGAATTTAATATAAGATATTTAGGAAGATAAACAATGAGCGGCAAGAAAAACGAAGCTTGCATGCCGTTGGTGGGTCGTGGCGTGGGTTACCTTTTAACTGTTGGGTAAACTATATATTTAGTATTTCAACTATTACTTTTATTCCGTTTCAGTCACCTAACTATTTTTTTCAAAATTATGCCTAACGTATATTTTAGTTTAATTTTAGTCACTCACTTTTATAAAATTAACATAACTATTGACGGGACATTTAAAAATTTAAAAAATGATGTGGTATTATCTTATGATGACATATCAGCATCACCGTTAATTTTTTAATAATGATTGATCAGAATAAAATCAAAACATAATATTAGGTATGATTTTGAAATAAAAGATATAGTTAAGAGACCAAAATAGAATAAAAATGGTAAATGAGGTACTAAACAATTAGTTTACCCGTAACTATTTAAGACAGAAGTAGAGACAAAAACAAGTGGAGAACACTTCAATCTTAGTTTAACGGAAACAGAAGATAGTCCAAAATTAAAATAAAAAATAAAAACAATCAAAACACTCACTCTTCTCTCTGCTTTCTTCCTGCACTGCACTTTACCAGCTTCCTTTGTCCCTCTCTCTCTCTCTCTCTTTCTCTTTCTACCCTAAATTCTTCTGTTCTTTGAAAACCCATAAATTTGAATTACTGTATACGTACATTGCTTGTTCCTTTTGGTTTCTTTCGCTGGGAAAAGGAGAGAGTTTTTTTTTTTTTTTTTTAAATATTGAATTTTTTTTGTTAAGCAAGCAAATGAGGTTTTTGAGTTGGGGGATTGTAAGTGTTGGATTGTTGCTGGTTTTGACTCTGCCTTTCTCTGCTGCAACTACTGACCCTCGTGATGGTAAAGTATCTTAGCTCATGTTTGCATCATTTATTTTATTTTATTTTCTTGAATTTGGTTATTGTTGCATGATGATGCTGTGTTTTGGGTGTCGGTAAAGTTTGTGGAAAGGGATAGAAAATACCAGCAATTGGAAGTTTATCAACTTGCTTTTTGCATAATTTTCTTCATCTCTTTTATTGTACGAGTTCTAGCAAATGTCAATGTAGCAGCTTTAATTTAAATGTTGGAACTTTGAGGTTTCTCAAAGAAATTCATTAGGAACCCTTAATTGTTTTTTTTCTTTGTTTTATGTATGTTTCCCCAGTTTCAGCAATGAATAGCTTATATGCTTCCCTGGGTTCCCCACCACTTCTTGGGTGGATTCCTGTTGGAGGAGATCCATGTGAGGAAGGATGGCAGGGAGTTTCATGTGTATTCTCCAATATTACAGAAATGTAAATGGTGTTTTCCTTTTACTTTTTTTGTTGTTGATAATTTTCATTTCTTCATCGATGAATTTTGTATCAATTTGTTGAGCTTATGTTTATTCAGACGACTGAGCGGGTTGAACCTGGGAGGTGTCTTGGATGAAGGCATTGGAGGGTTCGAATCGATAATAGTAGTGTAAGAAATTTTCTTTCCAATGTATAGTTTCCGCGTGATGTGCATATTAGCATTGGCGACTAAGGTTTAGCATAGATGCTTAAGCTTTGAAATAGGCTATGCTTGTTTCATTCACATCTATTGAGCAAATGCATATCGATGAATGTTTCGTTTTGGCTGTTTTAAGCTTTTGCACTTCTTGGATATGGCTTGAACTGTATGCCGACTCCATATATCAAATATTGTTTAGCTCATTCCCGAAGCTGTTATATATTCCTTTATTGAGCCTTATGCTGCTTTTTGCTGTTGTATGAAGCAGGGATCTGAGTCACAATCAAATTGGAGGGAGTATACCATCCAGCATACCTCCCACCATCAGAAATCTGTATGTTCATCTACGATTATTATATTTTATCGGTTGAGTATACTTTATAAGCCAATATAAGCAAATGCTGCCCGCTTTTCTAATACTAAGCTTAACCATGATTGCATCGGCTTTGTTTTCCTCTTCTTTTAGTTTTCTTTCTGGTAATCAGTTCAATGGGAGCATCCCGACTACTTTGTCTGCCTTAACACAACTAACAGAGTTGTAAGTTTAAGTCAAACTTGCTTATTCCAAAATCATACTCTCAGCTATAACCATTTTCTCATTATTATTCAATATTCTACTATCATTCTCTTCAGGTTTTTGGATGATAACCATTTAAGTGGTGAAATACCAGATTCTTTACAACAGCTCAAGATTTTGGTCAACTTGTAAGCTATTTAGTCATATAGCTTTTTCTTCCTGTTTGCTTTTCTAGGTTTAATTCTGACAACATGTTATGTTTCAGGGACCTATCAGGAAACAACTTGTCCGGCCAGTTGCCTCCCTCATTCGGGAACTTGTCATCTCTTACCACGTTGTGAGTATTAATCTCACTAAATGATGAGGGCATTAGATTGATTCATACGATTTTTTTTTATCATGAATTGCATATATTCTTCTTATCATCTAGGATCATATATACTTTTTCTGTTGCAGGCACTTGCAGAATAATAAAATTTCTGGGGTCCTTGATGTTTTACAGAGTCTTCCCCTTTCGGATTTGTACTCTTTTTCTTCTGAATTTTCTTCATCCAATAGTGATCTAGCATTGACCCGAAAGTAGCTTACTGTTACAAATTGTCGCTTTCTCTTGTGTAGGAATGTAGAGAACAATATACTTTCTGGTCCTATACCTCCAAAGTTGCTGAATATTCCAAATTTCAGGTTAATCCCTGGATTGTCTTGCATACCGTGATTATAATGCATGATTTTTTTTATCTCCATGTTCAACCTCTA